ATGATTTTCAAATGATAATATAACTGGAAAATCAGATGTTACAAAAGCACAGTCAGCAATCGCATGTATCACATCCTTAAAAAAAAATAATTAAACGTTTTTTTATATTAACATATTGAAATTTAATGTGCTGAAATTACAATAAATATTTTAAAATTTCATATAAAATGATACAACAATTATTTCTAAACAACATTATAAGAAAGAGAGCAAAAATCAGAAGGAAATTAAGTTTAATAAAATAAAAAAAATTATAAATATACCTTGAATAAAATGTCGGTACACATGGCTTTTCCATGCGTTATAATGGGTTCTTCATCTTCACTCCTCCCATCCCAACAATCCAATTCAACACATCTGGAAAAAAGTTTAAAGGTTTAAATTTTATGTATTGAAAACTGTTGTCAGTTATTTCACTTCAAATGAAAAGTAAAAAGAAATTGTATTAGTCGTCTCGTTTTTAAATTTTATTTTTCTACTCACCTACATCCAGCTAAAAGGACCTGACGGTACATTTCCACGCTTGATTTTCCACCAAACTGCCTTCCACTCAGATAAGTATTATGGGAAGAGTTAATATAGTAATGAGATAATGGTTGATCCATATCCATGTAAATATCCAAACGATCAAGAAAAACGGGAGCATTTTCGTCAGACATTAAATAACGAATCAAACCATCTTTGGTTAGTCTTTCTGAAAAATAACACAAGATTTTTTTTTTCTTTACAAAAGGATAAGATAGTACTCATTAAAGCCATTAAAAAAATTTTTTAAATAGAAGAAAATTATTAAGACAACAATTTAAAAAATAAAAATGAATAATAGTTTATTTACACACACTTTTACTAACTTTCGTTTCTGGCAGTTTCATCTTGTTCGTACGTGGTTATTATTTCCACAGCACGTTTTTCATCATATAAGGGATATAATATTTCATTCAATCGTGGATCCCTTTGCTTTTCATTTAAAAAAGTTATAAATTGAGATACACTTATAGATTCGGCTTTTCCTTGCGATCTAAAAAAAGAAAAAAATTAATATTAAATAATGATAACCCGGCAGAGAATTATTTAATTAATTAATTTGTATATTATTTACATAGTTTGAAATAAATCTTCGATGTCGTTTCTCGGACAAATTTTGTGGTATAAGGCATAAAATTTGTCGAAAGTAAAATCGGAGGGTTCGATAACATCGTTTTTACCACTGGGTAATCCCAGTTCTTGAAGACATTGATATACTAATTTTTCCGTTTTTCCAGATGAAAACGTTCTGACAACGACTTTAACGGAAACTTTTCCTTTGGGATCTACCAACATTCCAAGTCTCATCCAACTGGAAAAAAAATAAAATAAAATTTTCTCTTTTTGCTTAAACTGTCATAAAAATGGAAAGAAACGAAACTGTTTTTTTTTTCAATAATAATTCTAAATATACTTTGATAACAAAATATTAAGACTTGAATAAATAAAATTAGAGGAAGAGAAAGACGCATTCAAATGAGGAATAACCAATAATAATAATAATATCGTATCGTAAAATTTGTTGTAACTAAAAAGAAAATCTAACTGTGAAAGCCACTAAAAAGAAATTTTTTTTTTTTTCCCTTTAATTTTGACTACTTACTGTTTCATTAAATTTGTCCTCACACAAACATTGTTCATTTTATTGTTGTGGGTAATTATCCTAAGACCATCTTGCCAAATCTAAGCGAGCCAATCAATTCATTCCAAAAAAAATAATAATTTTTTTTTTTTTTTTTTGTAAAATTCAAATACATGCAACAAATAAAAAAAAAGAAAAAGAAATAATTTGCAATTTTATGAGTAAAATAAAATTTTGAAATAAAATTTAAAAAAAAAAAAAAATTATTATGTTTCATATAAAGTTTTAAATGTTGTAATAAAAATCATAATTCTTGGATTTCTATTCTTTAAAAACATAAAGTAATAAAATATTTTTTATGCTTCATCCCTAATAAAAAAAAAATAATAAAATAAATAAATAAAAATAACACAAATACTATTTTAAAATCATCTGAAATCCAACATAAGTATGAGACAAAATGTTGAATTTTTACATACACAAAATTTTTCTCTTTAAACTTCATTTTCCATACATATTATTAAATTTAAAAGCAAAAAACCATTTATAATTTAAACTTATATTATTTCTATATATTTTGTGAACACAAAAGTCTTCTCTCAATAATTTTTTGCTCATTAGAAATTTTTCTAAAAATTCTAACTTATGGGATAATTACAAACAAATTTTAAATTTTTCCAAAGAAAACGCACAATTTGAATAAAGAAACCATTCTTAAAAAATTACTAGAGAATGTTTTAGTGACTATCCAATAAATAAAATGACTTGATGCTGATTTTTAAATTGTAATTAATACATTTCATCAGTTTGACTAATGAATTTAAATTTGAAAAACAGAAATAGTTTCAATTATAAAATTTCTATGGAATTACATTGAGATGCTTTTTATAAATTTTGACAAAATGATTCTTTTTGAGTGAATGAATATGTATATCTGAGGTAAATGAAATAAAAACAGGTAAACATAAAAATATATATAAAAAAAACTAATTGGCATTCCAATAGTCATGCGTAGGCGACAGCTTTCAAACTTACTGTTTTAATAAGCAAGTGAAAGGACTAAAATTATTTGCTTTCACGTTGTGCGTAATTGATCTCAGACCATCAACCCAAATCTACAATTAGAAAATTACATTTTTCTTTTTCTTTGTTTTTAATAAAAATAAATAAACCATATTTTTTCAATTCAAGCTTTATCGATAATACTGAATATCACTTGTAGTAATATAGAAATCATTATTCATAAAAAATGTGAATGTAATTAATCGAATTAATGAAAGCCCAAATATTTTTCTTTACAAATAGAAGCTATTGAAAATTATTAAACTAATGCTTCTTAATTAATTATTTTTTAAAACAAAATGTCAGTTTTAATTTATTTAAGTTTAAATGCTCAATATTCGAACTTTGGGTGACCAAAACTTTTTTTTAACTTAAAACATTTCGAATGATGAGAGAAGAAAACTTGATGTTTTTTTAGACAACAACAAAGTATGAGTACTTTATCTAAAACATTATTATTAAATACGCATAATAAATAATTTAAAAATGTTTTTAAATTGAATGACAGACAAAGAGTATGAGTTTTTCAAATACTTTCATTTTATATGACTCACAAATACTTTTCTGTCACCCTTAAATCTTACCTTGGCTGTCGCAGCATCAGGACAAATGATATGCTGATAATTTATATTTATATAATCTGTTCCACTGCAAATGGTAAGAGATTTTTCTTCCAGTTGATGACCATGCTTATTTATGAGTTGACTACACAGTCTAGAATCCTATCAGGCAATATATTTGAATATTAATTATAATAACTAAAATAATCATAAATTTTAATTATATGTATGTGTTTGATAAATTTACCTTTGGAATTCCTCCTGCTCTGATATCACTGACTTGACACAATTCAATGACATCTCCTTCTTTGCCTTCACTTTTCCAATAAATAAAAAATCCATATTCATCAACTTTAAATAAACAACCAGTTTCAAAATCGGTTGAATCTTTTTCTTCTGTCCATCTATCGAATACACCACCGGAAAGGAGTGGTTCTGGCACTGGTATGTGCCAATTAAATTCAAATCGTTTAGTCATAATCTACCTGAAATCAGTCTGTTTTGCATATTTTTACTGAAGTTTTGCAAAATTAACATTTTTATATGATCAATGATACAAAAAAACAACATGATATATTCATTACCCATGAATAAACATTCTTTATAAACCTATCGAAGAACACAAAAATAAAACAATTACATGAAATTCACATGAAATTTCATTTGCTATTGAAAAAAAAAAAATGTCTTTATTTTATTTTTACCTAGTATTTGAAAATTCTAATGAAATTTAATTTGAAAATACAATTTAAAACATTTTCAAAACCTGTGTAAAATTAACAAGTTTTACATTTTTAAAAAGAAAAAATATTTTGAAATAATACATTTTTTTTTTTTTGTAGTTATAATTTTATTGTCAATGTCAAAAAAAAGTAAGATTAAAATTTTTGTTTTTTTTCTTTTTTTTTAATAGGAAAGGGATAAACAACTATAAATAAAAAACAAAAAGAAATAGCTATTAGGTTAAACAAAATACTTACATACTTTAAGTACAATATTAAAATGATTTATGATTCCATTTTTATAAATTGTCTTATTTTAATAAGTTTTTGAAAACATATAAATTAATAACGTATCAGATACATTTCCACATTCACACACACATAATTTTATTGAAATTATGTGTCTACGTGTTTTTAAATACTAATTTTTAAATCAAGTTAAAATTGAAATTTAACATCACTACAAAAAAAAAAAAAAATTCCGT